TACCTTAATTAAGAAAAATGCAGTTGCTTAATGTGCATTAAATGTAGGCTGTTCAAGCATTTTTACTTAGTTGTACCTTTAACATGCTTTATTAAATTCTGAACTTGGCTGTCCTAACTTTGAGGACAAATACTAAATCCCTCCTCATAACTCAACACTAATTCATAAGCTAATGTGGAGGAGGATGACAAACTATGCACTGTTATCTGTTGTCAAAAGGCCCCATTGTAATCCTTTGACTTCACGTTATGTGAAATGACTAGAGTGCCACCTACTGGGCGATTTATAGGCTACTACATATAACAATAACTGGGCAATTCGTTACCATTTTTTCACTGTGGCCCTTTTGTTTCAGGATCATGAATCATTTTCAGTAAAAATGCCCTTCGGCCTTCATTGAAAGAATTAAGAGTAGTTACACAAGCAGTGAGGTACTGTCATGAATAATATTGCTCCTAGCTATTAGAAAACCAGACGGAAAATCCGCCCCGATATGACGTGGTGTCTGCTCAGCTCAAAAATGACTTGCACTGGGAGTTTAAAATCATCAAGATATGACAGTTATGAGCTGCTTACTACACAGTAGTATACGCTTTCCCTCAATTTTATACTGGCAAATGGAAAAACAGGTTGGGTCTGGTTTTGTCTGTAGGCCTATTGTGGGGACAAATGTCCACACAACAACAGTAAAACCATAGACAGTAAAAGGGGGAAACAGCTGCAGACCAGACAATCCCCATAAGTAGGCTATCAGGCTTAATAAACAATAAAAAATGCCAAAATATAAAAAGGTTCAGTGAGGGCTGCATGTTTGAGTTAATGAATAGAAAATAGTATCTCAAATTTATAGTGGAAAGTTAACATTTAATTTATGCAGTGGTAAGTGTCAGTGATGTTTATATCTCGAGCTATTGATATAGTGTTTATATCACAAATGCTTATTTTCTTCATTTTAACCATTTTTTAGCATACAGACATTAGTCAAATCTTGATGTTCAGTTTGGTATCACGGACTGGCCTTCGTTTGACTTCACTTCCCATAACTCCTCTCGCGCGCTCTTCCGGTTTGTTGTCATTGCTCTGCGCTGCTCGCGTGACCTCGAGATATAAACATTACTACACGACGCTTACCACTACTAGTAGTACTGTATTTTGCTCTAATGAGCACTTATGTAGTTTAGTCTTTGCACTCAAAGTGAAGCTTTAGTGATGTTTGCTTGTGCAGTTACGCAGCGGTTACGTCACGGTCTGTGTCTGGGCTCAGTGCAGAGATGTTCAACACTCTTCACCAGGGCTTGGATCTCTCAGGCTCTCCGAAGTTTTTCAGATGCTCCTGCAACCACGAAAGACTTGAATAAACCTATAAAGCAATGGGAATTATTAGTCAGTCCTTATACAAAGGTCAGGTGTCATTTAGGCTGCAATATATCCATAAAACCACTGGATCCACATAATTTTCCAGAATCTGATCGGGTATTTATTACTGTGCACGTGATAGATGCGAATCAAACTCTTAATGTGAACAGATTTCATGTTCATTATGATGATCAAAGCAATGAACTTCAGATTTTGGCCGATGAGATGGATAGCAATGTCACTGTTGAACTGACAGCACCTATTAAATGTGGTAAGGATCTGTATTCCGGCTTGTAAAGAAAATAATAAGGCATGTATTTTTTTATATTATATTAATATATTGTTGCTTATTCGTTTAATTGATGTTAAAATGTAATTATAATTAATGTTATTTGAATTTTTTTAAATTTATTTATGTTAATATTAATAATGGTTTTACTATGTAGACTGTATTTACAGCAAGTTAATGTAACAAGTGTACTTTTAATCATGTAAATTCATTGAAATGCATGTGAATCATTCTAGCCCCTATCCATCCCTCCAGATCTCCACATCAAGACTAAAGACAAAGGCAACGTGAAGATCCAGAATATGGAGAGTGACCTCTGCCACGTGCTCACAGAGAGAGGACACTGTGTCCTAAAATCTGTAAAGGTAATACATAAGCTTTTATCAAAATTCAAAATAGGGTCTGGGGCCTCAAAGGAGTACTAGAGGGTCCATGGAAAACTAGTTTAGAGAAGAAAAGGGTTAACTATGTGAATAAATCAATTAATTTAAAAATAAAAATTCATGAAAATAAAAAAATTGGATTTAAATCAATAGATAAATAATACATCTAAGAGTGCATTACTATAGAGAGTGACATACAAGAAACTAAATATTTAATTGATCAAAAATACAGTAAAAAAAATACAGTAATATTGTAAAACATTACAATTGAAAATAAATATTTGAATATACACTACCAATAAAAAGTTTGGGGTATGTAAAGTTTTTTTTTTTTTTATTCAACAAGGACACAACATCATTTAAACACACAACATCAAATGTGACCGTTAAGACATTTATATTTTTTAGATAAAAAGTATATTTCAAATAAATGCTGTTCTTTTGAACTTTCTATTCAGCAAATAATCCTGCAAAAATATATATATATTAAAATAGCTGTTTTACTGTATTTTTGATCAAATAAATGCAGCCTTGGTAGACATCAGAGACTTCTTTCAAACTTTTTTTTTCTTTTTTTACTTTTGATCGGTATTGTGTATATACTGCCCTTTTAAATTTTATGAAGTGAGTCCCTTGCGTCACAATGATCAGATTTGGGTGGTCTGAGATCTAAAAGATTTAAACCCAGAGTTAATGTGTCATAAAGGCCTAAACATATCTTATTTATTGAGATAATAAGGATCTGTTTAATTCTTGTGATTTGATTTAGGGTCATGAGGTTCAAGTTCAGTCCACAGGAGGAAATGTCACTGGACTCAAGACCTTACATGGGAATGTAGATATCCGCACATCTGGGGACAGTGTAAGTAGTTCTTGATATATAAAACTGCATACATTCTGAAATTGTTATTAAGTCATTGTTTTTGTTCTCCAGAATATCGATATTAAGAAAATTCAGGGAACCACGATGAACCTCTCCACAGAACACGGGGATCTGAAAGTGAAGGCTATCTATGGCGAATCCACCTCGATGTCAACTTCCTCCGGGAACATCCAGATTGGCCACGTACACGGTGAGGGAGAGGGACGATAACGGTTCATTTTAAACGCCTGATGTGCAGTTAGGACATGTATCATTGTTGTTTTACAGGTGAAGCTCTTGTACGCAGTGAAACAGGAAACATCATGATTGGTAAGTGATAGTCTGACTCTGAATTGACAGTAGGTCATTAGTCACTAGTTTAGTGCACTAAAGATGTCCTTCCTGCGTCCCAGACAGCTCAAGTGGTGCCCTGAAGGTGTTTACTGCTGCTGGAAACATTGATGCGTACGTGGGGCAAGACGGAAGTGCAGAACTTCACAGTCAACAAGGTACTAATAATGGACATCAAAGAAACTCATACACAAGACTAGCCTAGTATGAACATATCTACTTACCTGCCTACTTTCTTTTTATCCATTTATCCATTCATTTTTAAAATGTCTTTCAAATTTATTGTACTTATAATCGTAATATATTTCTGATACATACTTAAAGACCCGTCATTACTTTGTGTCAAGGTCAATAAGTCTTTAGATCATTTGACTTTCTTACAGCAAGGCAAGATTAGGTCAGATTGTAAAATGTCATGTGGTACGACTCACCTCTTTATGGTGGAAACTTTTATTTGTCATTGGACCAGGTGCTGTGAGTGTGCGTTTTCCCTCCAGCATGAAAACAGCAGTGCAGTTGTGTGGAACCTCTGTTAGCATTAGCTCAGAGATAGAATGTCAAGAGACTGAACATACTTCAGCTAATGGGAAGACAACAGTCACGGGTGAGTAAAAAAGCCAGACTCACTTCATGTCTTTTAACTGCTTGAAACATACTTATTTGTTCAGTTGTAAGGGATTAAATTCCTGCCGAAAGTATTGTGGTCACGGATCACAGAAATAATAAGTGCAAGTGTAAAACAAAAATGGCAATTTGACTGTTTAAACCACATTGATCTAACATATTCTATGCATTCATTACATTCTATGTATTCCTTATAGCTCGTTTGAATGGTGGCATGTATGAAGAACGATGGATCAAAGCCACAGCTGAAAAAGGTGCTGTGAACCTGAGAAACCAGAGCTGGTTTGAGACTCTCAGACTTGGGGCTCAGAGTTAAACACTGCACAGAAGCACCTGGCACCAAATAACCCACTTCAGTGAAGGTTAATGGATCTTGTGTATATCTGTCCAAAAAGACTCTACAAAGTTGAGCGATACAACTGTGTCTTGACATAAGAGTGGTGAATGCATCTTAATGACATGTTTGAAACAGAATGCTTGTCATTTTATGGGTGGGGTTGTGGGTACGTCCTGCCTCGAAGAATAGAGTATGCAACCAAAGATGTGCTTATAATGTAAAACTACCTTTTACAAGCGGTGGTCCTCATGTTTTGCACAAATTGCAAAACGTCCTGTTATGGTACACCAGATTAGATGCTAAATAGTACCTACATGATTAAAACAACTTTCCAAAATAAAGAAATAAACCATTAAATTTAAAGCGTTTATTAATTATTCACTGTCACATGATTCTTCAGAAATCATTCCAATATGAAGATTTCCTGCTCAAGAAACATTTATTATCATTATCAATGTTAAAAACAGCTGTGCTGCTTAATATTTTTGTAGAAACTGTGATATATTCTTTCAGGATTCTTTGATGAATAGAAAGTTCAAAAGAACAACATTTATTTTAAACGCTAATCTTTTGTAACATTCTAAATGACTGTTACTTTTGATCAATTGAATGCATCCTAGCTGAATAAAAAAAAAGGTATTTAAAAAAATGATTTAAAGTTATTCTATGCTGATATAAAGACACATTTATGTGTAAGAGTTGTACTGATATTTGCTAAATGAAGAAAACCCGTTAACAAACTCCTGCTTTTTCCTCACGATCTCAGTTTCACCCTTCAATGGTCAATGCTGTAGAAAACAGTGCTTGTTCAACAAATGTTGAACCTATGCAGTTTGTGTTCATATTCATGAGTGAAGTTCTGAGCCAGGCGGTCTGCAGTGGAGCTGGTTACTGTCATTGTAGAGCTTTCAAAGGCAGCATTCACTGGAAGTTAGTGCAGGTAAGTTTGTTTTATACAACTACACCTCAACCTGGAGACAAAAACAAATATTGAGAGAATACATTTGGTAAATAACTCGAGTTAAATGAAATTAATTTCCAAAAATGCTCAGTGCTGGGTAGGAAGTGATTACATCAGATTCCAAAAATTAAGTACTTATATAATGTTCTAAAACACCAGTCTGGGAAACCATGATGTAATATAATATTTAATGCGAACAAGTACAAGAATACTTATGAATTAGCTTTTTATATAGCTTTTTGCTAAGTTTGCTCTTTAATAAAGCCCAATGTACCGCTATACAATAAACTGCAATTAAAAAAAATAACCAATTAACATTAATATACAGTTTTGTGATGTCTGTGTCTGTGTATACATGCTTTTGGTTATGTAGGTGTTACCCTGACTGGCAGTAGAGCATGAGTTTAGGGGGTTGAAGGTGGCGAATCCTGGGAGGTTCGGGCCAGTTGAGGTCCTGATCCATTGCTGATACTGTGACACGCGGGTGTACACTCCAGGTTCATTGGGCTGACCACAGTCGTGACCCCTACTGATGATACCAGACTGGACCCACACTGAACACTGCTTACTCACCATTGGACCACCAGAATCCCCCTACAACAGAAAAAGAGAGAGGTAGTATGTTTTTCAGTTACATTTTTTGTTTGTGGCACTATTTAACATAAAACAGTGAATATAAAAAGTCTACAAGTCTGATATACTCCTATACAAACTGTGCTGTAATAAAATCAAAGGGTGCTTCAACTAAGTGTAAGTTCAGGGGTATACACACTTATGCAGTTAGTTATTGAGTAGAGTCAGCATGATTTGAAAATTCACAGTTTAATTTGTAAAAAATTAAGTGAGCGTGCCGTAGTTACCTATTCTAAATGTATTCATGTTTTCAAGATTTGCAATGGATTAAGTAGGCTAGTGATTTTACTGAACATAAGAACTACTTACTTGCGTCACAATAAAAATACATAGAATGAACAACAAGTAATAAGATTCTGGTTTATGAGTGATCTTCCAGTACTGTTTCAGCTATGCACTCCTATAGCACATGGTAAATCAAGACGTGTCATTCTGAGCGATCGACCCAATCCAAGCGCGCTCCAGCTGTAAAACAGTGTCAGGCTGGTCTCTACACATCGTCCCTACCCACTATACCCACACACCACACCCACGATCCAGTTTCCATTGGTTAAACTTTCAAACAATGTTGGAAAACACTGCATCATTCCTGCTTGTGACTTATTCAGATCCCATAAGTCCTATAGCTTTAGCCAAGCAGCATTTCACATCACTCTGTGATCTACTATTTATGTTGTGTTTGGGCTCGTTCGAGACCACCTGCTGATATAATACAGATTTGTGATATACAATTTTTTACTAGATTTACAAATGTTTCATGCTGTTACAAACAAAAATGTGGCGCAAAAGCATCATGAGTATACTGTTTACACATCCGTCAGCGCCGCTTTTTCATACAAATACTTTGGTCTCTAACTGAAACAAATATGCATGTTGTATTCTAATGTCAGCTAATTTAAAAGCACTTGTTAAAGTCCCCCTGTAGTCCATAATTGTATCCCTTAAAACTCATCTTTGATCACCAAAATGAAAAATGAAAGAAATTTCTTCATGCCTTAAGCCTTAAAATAGCTTGCATGTAACTCTACACGCTTGCCTCATTTAGTATACGTGGTTCAATGAATATGCAAATTAGCCCCGCCTCCGACTCACTCACACCAGCTCAGAGATCCACTCGTTGACGATCACAAGTTGACGTGATTGGTTACAAGGTAGTTTGTGACGTCAGAAACACCAGCGATTTCAAACCGCGTTTTTGAGACTGTCTTTGGTTCACTGCAGTTTTAAGGAGAAAATACTCAGCAATGGTGTTGACTTTGCACATGGTTTGTCTTAAAGCACATTAAAAACACCACATAGACATACAACAAACAACATAAAAAGCTTGATTTTCACCACAGGGGGTCTTTTAAGTGATGGTCATATTCCCTATATTTACTGTAAAGCCAAGCTTCTAAGATTTATAATGACACCTATTTTGGGTTGGTCAAGCAAGTGGTTGTTAAGTAACATGATAACTTAGTAGCACCCAACCACCCATGCTTCGGAATTAAGAGGTTAAGGTTAATGATTAATTGGTCGTTAATTTAAATAATAATAAATTATGGGAATTTATGTAATTTGACATCCCTACTCTAAATGTTCAAAATGCATGCGAACCATAGGATGTAGGCTCACCTGATGGATTTAGTGACTATTTTGAATTTCTTTGAATTGCAGTTCTTTTTTTGTAATTGAATTGAATTCTGCACAACCCTCATGAGTGTGCACATGTAGATAAGTAGTAATTATGGTTGTTGTACCTGGCAGGTGTCTTTGCCTCCCTGCAGTAAACCAGCACACATCATGTTGTCTGTAATGACTCCGGCACCCAGCAGATCATTACACTGAGAATTAATTATCACTGGAACCACAGTCTCCTGCAGAGTCCCAGGATAAAACAAATTCACTGGACACACGACAAAACACAATCATCAGTATGTGATGTTAGTAGAAGGTGTGTGTGCTTGCATGCGTGCGTGCGTATGCATCTGTGTGTGTGTGTGACCTCCAGATGCAGTTTGTCCCCAGCCTGTGATCCAGCAGTTGGTGCCAGAAGGGAAAATGCTGTCCTCCGCTGCTAGACACACCGGTCTAATATAGTTAGTAAAGTTGACTGAAGAGGACAGATGCAGGAGAGCGATGTCATTGTTGTAGGTGTCACTGCTATAGTCAGGATGTATGACAAGCGTACTGACATTTCTGCTGATTTCATGAGCATGAACTCCCTGCTGTGTCATCCTTCCCAAGTACACAACCAGGCTGGATTTGTTGACACTGAATATATAGACCACGAGGAAAACAACAATATTACAAGAACAACATGTATACATAAACATAATTACACAGATTTCAAATAATGTTATGTGATTCTAACCCAGCAAAACAGTGAGCAGCCGAGAGCACCCATTCACTGCTGATGAGGGAACCTCCACAAAAGTGACCTTTATATTTGGGGCTGTGAAGACTAACCTGCCATGGCCACGCCCCCTCGTGCGCATCAACTCCACCCACAATACGGGTTTTTAAAGGGCGACGTCCACAAACTGAGAGAGAAAAAGAATAGTGACACAAGCTGCACTAGCATGAGATCACATAAATGTTTCTTTTTTAATAATCATGGGGTTTCAGATTATGTCATGTCATTCTTTCTAGACATCTAGAGGGGCTCTTACCATTCAAATGAGAAAGACAGCCTGCAAACAAACAAAAAAAGTCATGGTGGTACAGATAAATGCAAGTGCCCACAACTACACATCATAATAATTTAACATATATTTCAGTTCTTATAGTAATCAGCTAAGATGAAGTTATATAAGACATACAAAATATAGTGATATACGTCTATTTTATAAAACAGATTCTGGAGAGAAAAAACAGCTCGTTTTATGTCACAAATGAAGCACGTGTGAAAATATAACCAAATTAATTGAAACACCTGTAAGATTTTACCTTTGACGCATATGAGCAGGGCCATGCAGGTAAACGTCCGCATCGTCACTTAACACCCGGTGTTTTCACATATAGTTCATTTTAAAAGAACCAACCCCAGACTCTCTCTTCGCTGGCAGGGTGGATGTCTATGGTAGTTTTGTCATGTTATTCCTTTAGTAATGTCCACCAACCCTTCTTATCACTAATTTGCCTGATCATTTGCATGTTTCTTCGTCTTCCTCACTTCCTAACAATGCTAGACCTATAGTTTTACAGCAAAGCCATGAATGTGTGTGACGTGTAGGCCTGCATATGGCCCACTTTTCATTTTCATTTATCATGCGGATTTTACTGCATGCTTGACAATAAAATGCATCAGCCTGTGTAGTTTAAATAAAAGTTAAGGTTGAAATGCAAATCTTTGCCTATATAGACAAAGATTAAATGAAATTAGTTCTGTTTGTGGAATTACTATTAGCCTATTAGAGAGAGAAAAAAATAGTTAAGTTTTGATTCCAGTAAGATACAATACATCATACAAGAATAAATTCAATGCAAGAAGACAAAATTAATTGACTAACTAAATTGTGGTTACATTTAAAGTAAATACTTTTTAAATTGTACTTTTGTATGTTTTCAAGAAAAAAAATAGTAAATATATTATTTAATAAATCATTATTTCAGCATTTTTATTGCATTCTTTTTAACTAAATGAAAACAGAAGCATCCTGTTATGTTGCAATATTTTATTGTATTAGTAAACCCTGGTTTTAATCACAATACAAATACTATACTACACAATACTTTAGCATTAAGAATAGTGTCTAAAGTTCAACAGATAATTTTAAAGTTTATAGCATATTAACATCTTAATAAGATATAATAAAATACAAATACTTAAGTTTAGAATATAAGGCAACTACTATTATTTAGTGAACTGTGCATATGATTGTTTTCCTGTTTTATTTTTATTTTGTGATTCGATATAAAAAAAAAACAAATAAATTAATGTATGTAATTCAAAGAAAGGTCCCACAGTTTCCAGAATCTTAAAATATTAAATACCCAAGCAATAGTAAGAGTTGACCAAATATACCATGATGGCCTGTATCATGATGGTAGTTGAACAAACTGGTTTGATTTTGTCAACTCGAAACCAATCCTGTAACCCTGAGTTTGTTCAACTCCCATCATGGTACAGGCCCCTGGAAGCGCTGCACTGTGTTTACTATGTGAATAGTGTGGGAGACTGACATGGAAGAAAAGAGATTGTTGATTAAAGTTGTTATTTTTTTGCACACAAAAAGTACTCTTGTCACTTCAGAACATTAATGTTTAACCACTGTAGTCACATGGACTTTTTTAACGGTGACTTTACTACCTTTCTGGGCCTTGAAAGTTGCAATGAGATTTATGCCTATGGAGGGACAGAAACCTCTCAAATTTCATCAAGAATATCTGTTTCAGAAGATGAGGGTGAGTAATTAATGACAGAAGTTTCATTTTTGGGTGAACTTACACTTTTAGTGTGTGAAATATGGCATGGTAGCGTCCTCATTTTACATTCTCATATGATTTTTTTTTTCTCTCTTTGCAAGTTTTCAGTTAATACTGATTCTCAACCTTTTGGTCTTATACCCTGACAGTATTTTGTACCTAAAGAAACAAGAAAAAACACACCTTTGGGAAGAGATTTCATATCAAATGCATAAATGTTATATAATATCAAAATATTTTCCACTATAGATTAAGTGTTGACTCGACTGGTCATGTCTGTAGTGTCCTCATCCTGCCATATCTCGTCGAGTTGCAGTAATTAATCCAGACTGTAGGGGGCGTCATCGTGACTGTGTTTCCAGTGTTGGACTCGGCACTGCAGATTCAGAGCGGCCTGTCTGAGATGAGAAAGGTACTTAACACTATAATCATTAACATAGGACTATCTCTGCTCAACTCTATGAAACGAAATATTCAATATCTCCTATCTGTCCATCGATATTATGCACTGCATTTGTGTTGCCGTCATGGAAGGGAAATGGCACAGTGAATCACCTGGAGATGTTCTTGCAGTAGAGCATGCTGATGGACCGCAGATGTGGAGCGCTGCACAGGAGGAAAGAAGGAGTGCGGTCGGTCAGGAGAGGACAGCCACTCACGTCCAGCTCCCTCAGGAAGTGACCAGCTCTTGTTAGATATTTCACTGCTGTATCTGTCATCTGATGCAGCAAAATATAGTTTCAGCTATTATGTGATATTTACCTTTACCATAGGACTATATAGTGAAAATACTATATAGTGAAAGACACTAGTGTAAATACTTTTTTGCATTTTCTAATTCAGGGGTTTTCAAACTGGAGCAACAAGGGAGTGCCTGGGGTACGTGGAAAAAGTTTTATAGAAAAAAACATGTAAAATAAATAAATAAATTTGATTAAAATAAATAATAAAAATAATATAAATTAGGTTGAAATTAATAAATACATCAGTACAGTACTATAGTGAGTAGAAAAAAATAATGTAACATAAAAGAAACTAAATATTTCCTATTTATTTTATACATATTTAGTGTTCATTTTTTACAGTATAAATTGGGTATTTATACACAAAAATATCTAGCTTTCTTTTAAATTTTAGAACAAGTGTCCATCACACGAGGATGATCATATTCGAGGGTCCGTCAACTAAAAGTTTGATAAGCCTGTTCTAATTGAATGTATTTTTATTACAAATCATATTATCAGCATAACAATTTGAGTAAAGTTGAATTTCAAGCATTTGATTAATGACCTTGAAATATGTCTAATCCTAAAATATATATTTAATACATTTAATATTTTTAACATTTTATATTTTCTGGTTTGAATTTTATTTTAATCTCAGTGAATTTAGTTGTATTATTCTGGAATATTTTCATAACAATTTAGTTGCATCCCAAAATGACGCACTATACACTATGCACTTATACACTATTTACTTGTGCATTATGTACTCATCTGTGTAGTATATGAATTTTAAAAGGTTATTTTATCATTCAACATTGGAGTCTGATAGCTCCTCCCCCTCAGCTACGTCTGAAATCGCATACTTTGATTCTAGACTTACTACATTCTCCATGTTGTCACTGTCATGTGACTTTTTTTTCACCTACTATATAGTAGTGAAGTATGCAATTTCGGATGCAGCCTTCGTTTTTCGATTAATTAAGTGCACCATCTGGGTATTTTAAGTGTACTTTTCCTACTTAAAATTTTCAGTGTGAACACTAATCGCACTATTTATACTACAAAATGGCATAGAATAGTGCATTATACTCGAACTGGGACGCACTTTTTGTTCATCTGTTAACAGTTAATTATTTCCTGACAAGCTACTTTGTGCACTTATTAGTCTTTCAAGATTACTGATTTAAAGAAGTACTTTATGACATCCAGCTATTCTGACTGTGGCAATGGTCCTGCAGAAGAAGGAAAGGGCTTTGATCGCGCGATCAGACAGACACACACAGTGACACACATCCAAAAGCTCCAGACGATGACATTGTCGGCAAAACATCTGCACAGAGACAAAATTATGTCACATTAACTTTCCAATAAACAGTAATCAGATTGTAAATTCATGGCAAGCCATAAATCTTTGCACAATGGAGTGATAAAAATTGTAAGCCAAACCTTTATTCCATTATCTGTAATGAAAACACACTCGTTTGCGGTCAGTTTTCTCAGACTGTGATTGGCCCCCAGAACTGCCAGTCCCTGTGAAAGACACATCTTTAATATAATAACAGTTTTGACTACAGCTGTAAAAGGATTATGTGTAATAAATGATACACTAAGTGTACTTTGTCATGTATTTTGCAGCCGGTGATGTCCAGAGAGACCAGAGAAGCACATTTGTCCAGACACTCAAAGCCGGTATCGGTCAGGTTCTCACAGAAACACACGGCCAGGTGAGTCAGATTGCTACATCTGGAAATGAATTTTGCATTCATACAGTCACTGTATATGAAGGATTTTTTAAAAGAGTGAACTGTCTGTAAGTGTTAACTGTTTTCACCTCTGAGTTATTCTCTTCAGGGACAGGTCTGTAACTTTTGGGCAGTAAGAAAGATCAAGCTCTCGCAGTTCAACAGCAGACGGTCCTTCAGTGATGTAATAGATTCCCATATCAGTCACCCTAGATCGGGTAAAAAAAAAACACAAAACATAAATTGAATGCATTTTTATAGAATCTGAAATGCATGTCAAGAATGTAACCAAATATTCTAGATTGGGGGAGCGAATGGAAAAGTGAAATATTTATTATTTTTTTCTGCTGTATGTAGCATCAAATAAAATCAAAAGCAAATAGCCCGCCTTGTTGGCAGAAGCTATATTTACACTTACTAAAAGAAGAAAATACTGCTATTTTTAGATAGTGTAAAAAGAATTTAGTGCTATTTGCACTTAGTGTAACACTGTGTTTGCATTTTTCTATATATTCACGTCGGTGCAATGGCTTCTCTCACTTGATACAGCCTGAGATATTTAGGTTGCACAGTTTTGTCAGATTTCCTAAAGACTTCAAGCTGGCATCAGTCATGCGAGGACAGTCGGACACATGGACCTCACTGAGTTTCTGAGAGCTCCTGCACAGGGCCTTCAAGCTGCTGTCTGTCATTCGCCCATTCCCTGAAATGCAGAACACGCAGTTTCTGTTTTACTAATTCAGCCTTTCTAGCCATGCCACATTATTTGAGCGCACAAATACAAACCTTCTATTTGGATCTTGGTGAGGCCGATCACTTCCGCCATTGTTTTGAATGCCACATCAGATAGAAACGGCGAGTCCAAGAGGGAAATCACAGTCAGCACACGACATTTAGACACTAAGACCTTGCAACAAAGAAAAACAACAATCTCCAAATTCAAACTTGGTGTCTAATAGACGTCATATTTGATGTACATATAACACACACTGTACCTGCACACAGGTGTCAGTGAGGGTGGGCAGGTCATCTAACACAATCTGTTGAAGTGAACTGCAAGCCTCAGCGACATATGTAAATCCATCCACAGATATCTGTAGAGTAGGGGGGAAACATTTTTATCATGCAATTAATTTGATCAATCTTTATTCTGATTTATTCCCGTGAGCAAACAAAACAATGTACCATGGTAGCTACTACTTGGACACAGAAGTAGGCTACTACAGTGTAAAAAATGATATGATCAATAAATTATGACAACATATGTTTTACATTGCTTTAACTCATCAAAATAAGTTAAGCAATTTTCAACTTTTATTTCATTTCAACAAGTTAACAAGAACTAAGAATGAGCAATACTTCTACAGAATGTATTAATAATTTTTTTAATAGATTATTAAAATCAAAAGTTGTATTTGTTAATGCACTGTGAACTAACATAAACAATGAACAACTATTTTTATTGAACTAACATTAACAATGACTGATCAAATACAGTAATAAATGTATTGTTCATTGTTAGTTCATGTTAGTAAAAACATTAACTAATGCTAACAAATGAGACCTTATTGTAAAGTGTTACCAAAAACAATAATGCTATCAAATGACACCTTATTGTAAAGTGTTACAGTTGCTACGATAAACGCATTGTTGTGATGTTTGCACTGTTTTGAAACGGACATTGATGAGCGGCACTGTGGGTCAAAAGTTGAACAGCTTTTATGTTGAAAAAAGCAATGAAAAATGCCGCAATGATTAAAGATGTGGAGGAGCAGAGCAGTGAAACGCCTGTAAATATTAACTAATATTACTAGTGTGCATTTCCTATATGTGTCAACTCTAACCTGAGAACAACCGGAGAGGTCTAGATGACTGAGTCTGTGACAGCCTTTCCCTGTGGTCAGACACTGCAGGCCTTCATCAGAGAAACCCATGCAGTGTGCCAGATTCAGAGACCGCAGCGTCACACAGCATCTTTTAAACAACAGTCAGTACCAGAACTATAAAAAATACAGTTATTTCTGTCATTATGCTTGTGTTCTGACAAACATATAAGAGGTTTGTACCTTGAGAGGACTCTTATAGTGCCATTAGTAATATGAGTTAAGGCCAGATTAAGATAGAGGAGAGAGTGACATCCCTCTAAAATCATCTTCATATCTTCATCCTGTCAAGATTGTTTCCAAACAAAACAGGTGTTAGATTGATAAGAAGCAGGGAAACCTAGAATCACAACGTGTTTGTTTTCTACTTGCATTAACATTTTGGCATTCACTCAGATTGAGTTCTTGAAGATTTCGGCATTGACCTTTGAAAATAAAACACATGCGATATCCTTATCATATCATTGATCAAACTGAAAATGTGTGTAATTTTTAGACTGATTAAAGTAGTTTTACTGATGCGTCTGAAGCTCGAGCCCTGCACCATTGTGCAACCGCACAGGTTCACAGAGATCACATAGACACGATGTGCCCGCAGTTTTCTCTCCACAGTCTGATCTGTGATCCAGCTGCCCTCAGGGGAGAAATCAATCTGTGGAAACACATTTTACAGATTATACTGCCTATATATCCTTGTGAAAAAGAAGTACACTTTAGCATACTTTTAAAAACAATAGGCTTATTGCAGAAATACAATGTTTTACAAGAATTTACTTAAGTTAAAACTGAATGTTATGTTTCCGGTCACTTAAATGAATGTTATTTAAAATTAAATGAAAATGGTAGCCTACAGCCTTACACACTGTGTAACTCTTTGCCCTCTAGCGGTTAAGAAACCAAACTGCAAGCATGTTGCGGAAGAACATTGTTTTGGTTGTGCTTCGGCTCTGTGTGACAGTGCGAATGAATATGGTTCTTTCTCATAACTAAAAAAGAGATATTTTCCTACTGCTCATAAAACACAGGCTTAAGAGATATTACCAGTTTAGATGGAAAGGAACTTACTAGCACTAATAGACACTGTAGGCTACGTCCTTAAAAAAAAATGCCTACAGCCCATAGTGAAATGATCATTCAAAATATACAATAGGCTACATATGGTCATTTATCTGTTAAAAAATACCTTACTCACCTGTTGAGTAAATTAAACTGCATCTCTCAATGTTTTTACAACATTTCAAATCCCTTAGTTCTCGCCATATCAGAAAGCCGAGCAAAGCCAAGAATGTTGATTCTTGATTTATGACGAGCTCTGTCAGCGCTTTTTTAAAAACGGGGCCCGCAGGTTCGAGATTTAGCTGCTCCCACAACCTTCTCACACACGTCAAAGTAGCCAGAGCAACTTCTCTTTATTTACGGATAGCCTATGTGGAGACACGCACGGGTGAGTGACGTATATATGCAATTTTTCTTTGAAAACCATCCTGTCTGAAATATAAACACTTGTAATATGCTTGAATCAAGACAACACGTTTTGACTCATTTAAATTTAGTTAATTTTGAACAAAATGTTTTAGTGTAGCCTACCTTTAAATATGGTTGGTTACTTACAGCCCAATGTAGCCTACTGACAAGCATTTATGGTAAACTAAAATATACTTTAATGTATTTATTATTTAAACTTGTATGTTTAAATATATTTCTAATTACACATTTGTAATGATGAAGTTGCAAGTACCCTACATTTAAAATATAATAACTTGTATATTAGTTAACACATCAAAATAAGTGTAGGCCTACTTCGTTAAAGCATGAACCAAATATTATTAAAAATTGATGATGTAAAATGTACTTTAAAGTAAAACTTTAATTTGACATTACAAAGTGCACTTTTTAAAAATGTCAAGAAACATGTAGTGGCGAGCACTACAAGAGCATATTCAATACAGCTAAGTGCACTTCTTTTCCACAAGGGTGTAGCTGAATTAAAGTGTTTAAGTGAGCTGCACTGACCTCAGTCCACAGTGAGCTGATTTGAGTGATCGCTTTCCAAGAATGACACACCTGAGCGCATTTCAGGAGGTCACGCACACCTAGACATTGGAAGATCTGCACCAAATACTTTATTAAAATCACAGTTGACTTGAAGCCAGTTATATAATGGTAACATCACAGAGGTTAAGTGATACCTTAAGAGACAGCTTGTTAGGCAGCAGTGATAGTCTGTCCTGTCCATTGCCCTGTGATATCTCTGAGTTCAGACTTTCTTGTATCTCTCTCTCTAGCCTCTGAACATACAGACATACCTAAATATCTTGTTAATCAAATGCATTTGTGTTACACACATTTTAATTTGAAAAACTACCTTAAAATATTCCTTTGTTCTTTTAGCTTCATGCACAACACGACGCCAAGATGTAATGATGTTTCTGCAGTGAACAGACTCCTGTGCTTTCTGTAGTTTCCTCACAGCATCTGGATAACATAGGTAAAGCCTTCATGTTACAATATTAATAGAGAACAAAATGGTGTTTAACTAGTTGGATTTCCTAAATATTCCAACTTCGTATTCCATGATGTAATATATAGGCAGTACCATTCTGCCTGTGTTTTCGAAAGCAAACCCACGCTGTCCACTTGATGAAAGCTTGTTTTATCCTTCTCTGTGTGTGATACAACTTAGTCTCTTCCATTCTCTCTAGGAGCCTGGCAGCTTTCATTTTCTTCTTCGAAATATAACTCTTCCAACCCCTTTAACATGAGAAGTCAGACATTAGCCTATAGGTGATACAGGCCCAGTGCTTTAAAAAAAGGGTTCTTTATTGTGGTTCCATGAAGAACCTTTAACATTCCACTGCACAAAAAGTTATTTCTGGTGGAAAAGGGTTTATTCGATTTTTAAAAAGTTATTCACGCTGAGAAATTAAGAACTAATCAATGAAAAGGTTTGGGCAACCAAAAATGGTTCTTCTATGGCATCACTATGTGACAAACCCCTTTTGGAACAATTATTTTTAAGAGTGGATCCAAAGCAGGTTTTGTTTGCTGTTGTGGCTTTTTTATAGTACAGTTTTGACACTCACATGAAACACATTTTGGTCAGGTTGGTTCGATAACATGAGAAAGCTTTCTCCAACGAATGCGACAGAAACTGTGAGAAAAAATAAATAAATGATTTTTAGCAGATGAAGGTTTGATAGCTCACCCCTATTCACTCTGAATTAAGAATATGAGATTTACCTGGCTGTCTTCTGAATTTCCAAAAATATCATACACAATGCTTCCTGCCAGTGAGGAGATTTGTTTGTCTTTGTCAATAAATGTGTGCCTAAAGAATTCAGAAACAATTTACATTTTAGGGCTATTATTAGTATTATTTACTGTATTATACTGTATAATACAGTAAAGCTTACAAGCTTATAAACTTGATTTATACATTTATATTCTAATGTCACAAATTATACACAAGCCCACATACCAGCAAATCTCGAAATCCTGATCTTCGAGAATTGATAGGATCTTCTCTTCTATAAAGTGCAAAGGATCTTCAGGGCATGAGACACATAACCCAGCAAGCAAAGCCTATAGTTTAAATGCAAAATAAGTTAAAAGATATATATAATAAATATCATAAATAATCCTTTAAACTAATATATATATATATAAACATTATTAATAACATTTACATGTTATAAACAAATTAATCGGATTGTGTTCAATTACACTATTTCCTTGGCTGGCTCATTCATTAACTAGATCATTAAATCACCTTGTAAATCTGAGGAAGTGAATGTTTAATGAAGTAGTCTCTCAATATTGGATCTGAATCTTGCCAAGAAGTCATCATAAAAACGATGGCAGCTGAAGAAGTAGTTTAATCATTTCCTGCAGTCAGTGCAACAATAACCTGAGACACCTGTAGCTTCTGTCAATATTTACATTCATGTTGCTTGGTGACCTGAGCAAGTGGTTGGTCAGATGAAAAAATCATTGGAGTATGTATTAATAGCAAACATACCTAGTTCGTAATTTTCCTATATTATTATACACACACACACACACACACACACACACACAAAACTAGTCCAGACTTTACATTCGTTGAAAGTCTTTGGGATGTGCTGGAGTATAGACTTTATAGAAGTGCTTGACTCTTGCATTATTAATATAATATCTTAAATCAAAAATCGATGCACCTCTCGATGGAAATAACATCAAAACGTTTATTTCCATCAAGTGGTGCACACATTTTTGGTCAAGATCTTGTATTGACAATGCAAGAGAAAGAGTCAAGCACTATGTAAGTCTCCTCCAGCACATCCCAAAGACCAATTCATGTGTGAAAATTATTCATCATGCTTCCTCCCAACCATTCTTTCATGATGAATATGGTCTTCTTATGTCTTATGTCTTCTTACATGGTTGTTTAAGAAATGAAAAGCTACACACTCCATCAATTGGGGTTAGAAGAACTGTTGCCAAACATGTAACATGTTAGAAGCATAATAATCACTGCAATTAAGTATTTTCTTATTAAATCCAAACAGCGACTTTTTTTGTTGGCCAGACATTTTTGTTTTTCAAAAATGTGAAATTATTCTTTGTTTGTGTTTTTTGTTACTTGTTATATATTTTGTATTTGTTATATATTAGCTAACATCATTCATGAACGCAACTCCGCGAAACGTTTTGGTCGTCCACTGATGCAATAGGCGGCAACGTGCAGAGGAACCTGACGAATATAGTGTGATGACCAGGAAGTGGGTGCATCTTTATTGATCCTGTCGGACAACAGCCATGTGTTAACATTTTCTGAATGAAATCTGCGCATATCGCAGAATGGGAGATGACAATGTCATAGCCCGGCTCGGCAGCATGAAGGCTCTGTTGGGGATTGTAGCAGGAGCCGGAGCTTCATATGGCATTTATAAACTAGTCGCTGGTCGTGCAGGAGATGGAGGAGTGAACAGAAGAAAGTCTGCTAAAAGTGTGACTATTCAGCCTGGGAGCTTAATGGCCAAAGTATCTGGATTTAAAGTGGTCAGTAAGAGTGATAATCTGGATCCGTCTGCGGAGACTGAATCTAGTAAGTGACATTCAAATGGTTTTTATGATGTATATTATGAAAGTAAACACTGACAGCTCTATATAAGTGTTTACAATATTTGTTTTTGAATCAAACACATTGTATTGATTAATTATGGGGAGATCTTTTCATGCAAACTTTTTTTTGCTGTTTTTTTCTTCTCATAAGGTGATATTCACTCAAAATCTGCTGCCAGCCTGGAGCCTCGACATCTGAGCATGCTTCTCTCTCTTCTGCAGAGCAGCCCAAACCCAGAAGAGAGGAGAAACGTGCTCGTAACCTTAGGAAATGCTGCTGCCTTTACAGTAAACCAGGTCATCTAATGGTTTGGCATCTACACATTGTGCATTATTCTGACATTTTTGCAGAAGAGTAAAAAAAAGCTCTCAAATTGCAGTTGATATCATGTTTACAATAATTTTTTGCTTTTCTTAAGTAGGATCTTCTGCGAGAATTTGGAGGTCTTCACATCATAGCAGGCCTCCTCTCAGACCCTTCATCGGAGATCCGGGTTCAGACTCTAAACGCTCTGAACAACTTAAGCATGAATATCCGCAATCAAGAGCAGCTGAAGGTATTGCGAATACTGTATAGATTTTATTATATAGGCTTTTTTTGTATTATTTTTTATCTTGGTACATGCCTGTTGCTTTTGAACCAGTGTTTGTTGTTGCTAACTAATATTCAAAATTGTTTTTGATAATAAAATAAAACTGAAAAAAAAAATATATATATTAATAACAGATGAAAATCTTAAACTTAAAAAATGAAGGCAAATTCAAATAAGTTGAAGTATAAAAATGACTAAAACTAAAATGTAAATAAATGTTAAAAACTATATGGAATTTAGTGCTGTCAAATCGATTGATCACTATTAGTTGCATCTAACATAAAAGTTTGTGTGTTTGTATATATATATATATATATATATATATATCGTGATTCATCTATTTCACAGCACTAATAGAAATACACAAAAAAAATATATATATAAAAAAAGTTAATTAAAATGACATGAGTACTACAAAGCGAAATTACTAAAACTTGAATGAAATTTAAAATTTAAAATAAAAGCTAATTCAAATAATTAATAAATGCTATATAAATAATACTAAAATACCATGTTCTCCCACACGTCTCTGTTGTTGTTCAGATATATATCCCGTCAGTGATGCAGTTGATTGAGATGTCACCAGTGAACTCTGACCCTCAGCTGGCAGCGCTCCGCTTACTCACTAATCTGTCAGTCACCGATAATCACCAGCATCTGATGAAGAATTCTATCACCCTCCTCTTATCTCTGCTCGTAGTGAGCAATGCAGTCCTACAGGTGATTTTGGATTTATGAGATAAATGATATGTGTGCACAATCAGATTTATTGAATATTTAATCTGTTCCTGCAGATCCAAGTCCTGAAGGTCCTAGTAAATCTTTCCTCCAATCCAGATTTGATGGACGATATTGTGCAAGCTCAGGTGAACAAATTTGTCTTTTACGCTTTCACTTTATTGTAGGTGAGATCCAGTCTAGTGACTTTTCACTCATGCCAACACAATATGATTATAAATAGATAACCCTATAAATAACTCTCTTGGTTGCTGGGTGTCCTAGTTTGTCCCATTGGCTTCCTGTTGATGCCTAGATCTATTTCAAGGCCAGTCTGTGGCCATGATTTAGTTTAGAGCTGCTCGATTTGGGGTGGCAAAAAATCTAATAATAAAAAATACTTAAGGTTTGCTGTGCTTGTTTGTAGGGCTTCATAATATGACCAAATATTTGTGATTATATATCAACTAGGGCTGAAACATAATGTTTATTTAATAACTCACTGTCAATTGTGATCAATCGTCCTGGTGTTATGGACGTCCCCATCTTTGAGACTGTCGCTATTGTTACCTGAGTTCAAATGATGTTGTGAGTGACTTCAGCTGTTCGTTCATACAGATATGTATTCAAACAGCTGAATGAACAAAACATTTCAAGACTCACTCCTGTTAGCAAATGCTGTTGTCAATTTACAGTCACTGAACGCAGACATTATGAACATTTCTGATAGATGCCTTTTAATTCTTGGCAATTTTTTATTTGTAAAGTATGAGAAAAGGTTTGAATAAATTGTTGAAAGTAAGATTAATGGCAGAAGTTACAGTTATTATTTATTGGCATGTTAACTACAGGATTAATCAACTAATCAGAAAATAACCAATAGAATAATCATGATAAATTGACTAATCTGGAAAAATAATCAATAGAAAAAAAAATTTTATTTTGTAATTTATAATCCTTACTAGATAAAAATATTAAACAAAATAAGAAATTTTGAAAGATTAATAAAAAGAAGTTACGGTAATTATTTATTTCCAACTTAAAGCTCCAGTCCGTAACTTTTTTAAGTTAAAAATAATCCAAAATAATTATATTAAAAAAAACTTATTCTGCCAGTGGTCAAAACTATCTGCTTGCCATAGCTAGATTCAAAACGGTTAGCTTGTAATAATGATTTTAATTCCAGTGGTACTGGTGGGTTTCCGCGGGAAATTCGAGCATGTCTTTGCGTCATGACGTCACACCCGTACACATAAAGAAGGAGTTTCGGCTAGCCGGCTATACTGCGCGTGACGAGATGTTTAGATGTATAGGCTTTTCTCGCAGCACTTTACATAATTAAACTTATGGCATCCAGAAAGATCCAAACAACAATCATCAGTGTCAACTGGAGATTCAGCAGTTATAAAACCCAAAAGACTTCGTACTTCGGATTTAAGGTGGCTAGAGAAAGAGAAAGAAACCGTCTCATGCGAACACAAGGATTTAAACATCGGCGGGGCTTTTGAAAAGTGAGTGAACTCCGTGTTTTGAAGGGGTTCAAAACGGAAGAAGAGACGGCTTTTTTCTGCTGAACAAGTAAGTTAAGACATTTCAATAGTTCAATCGTGTAACAGTACGTTTTCTTAATTCACACAGTTATGGAGTTTCCTTTGTTGTGCCTTTCTCGTTTTGCTATTATGGAGAATATGAATTCTGAACTACGCAGGTAGCTGCTAACCATAAAACACATTAAATTTAACATTAGTCACGCAATGCTGATGTTGTTAACATGAACAATTTGAGAACAAAGTAGGCTATAATTTGCACGGTTGCTGTAAATCACGTTGATTAAATCTAACGAAGCTTATCATGTCGAATGCTTTTTCCCCCTTAGTTGGTCAGAACAAAAATGGATGTTACTTACTTGTTCAGAAGACATTTTCTTATGAAAATTCTTATGTTGGTCAAACTTTCAAAAAGTGAATCTGTGATTCTGTATGACAGTATCCACACAGCGCTGTGACTGACAGCAGCACTCGCCTCAAAGCACTGTGTTCATCCGCGCTGTTTCATGCCGATTTACAACCCACGTAAAGATAATAATTCCGCGAATCACTGCAGTTACAGATTTCGAACAGAGAGATGGCGACAAAGAGGAAAAGATACGGACTGCAGCTTTAACTAAATGATTAAAGCTGCTGTAGGTAACTTTTGAAAAAATGTATTTGCTAAAACTGTCATTATGTCCTGACAGTAGAATATGAGACAGATAATCTGTGTAAAAGTCAAGCTCCTCTGGCTCCTCCTAGTCGTCTTATTGCCATTTGCAAGAAATACACGCTCCCGGTCAGAAACAACCAATCAGAGCCAGGAGGAATGTCTTAGCAGTGTCAATCACGCTCGTGTACGCGCTGATCACACCCCTCTCTTGCACAGCGCGAGCCGTCGTTCAAACTCAAGATTGCCGGCGTGCTGCAGCTGTGCTTATGACGGAGAAACAACCTAAACTGCCAATTCTCGAGTGACACCTGCTCATAAAACAAAGAGGTAAAAGGAAAAAGACTGATGACGATAAACAAGCGAAAAAG